GCCTCTGCCTGCCACAATTCATTTCAGCTGCTGTCTCTTTAAGGCCCGCCCTCCCCACGGGCCCATTTTCATCTGATTGGCCAGCTCTCAGGAAGCAGAACACTTGCAGGGCTGCCAGGTGAGAGGGTTCAACGGCTGACGTGCAGTAGAGGCTTGAAGCTGCCTTGGGAAATGGTTTGTTTAGCGCCCTCTGCAGGTTCATCCCGGGATTACTCCGATGTACGTTTACCTCATGATCTGAAACTTTGAAAACAGACAGCAGGACGACACTTACATGAGCTATCATTGTGTCCATAGCGAGGTGTATGAAGATCACACCTCGCTCTCCTGCACCTTCAAATAGGAGATAGACCCTTTTTAACAAAGTTTTCAGGAAAATCTAAACTCCAATATCGTATATGTTTTGAAGCCAAACTTTCCAGAGGCTATGAATGAATCAAAGGCTGTTTGATTTCAGCCATGAGTGCTCATTGTGTTATAATACTCCTCTGATACAGATTGCACCATTACATCTGCACCGCTCCAGAGAATACACGTGCACACAAGCATGCACGCGACCTCTGTCCAAGCCCATAATTAACCCTCTTAATTAAGAGGGAAAAAAGTTGCTAACGAAGGAAATGGATTTAATTAGCCTGGTTTTAGCTCAGGCACATGTGCACGCCGTGAAACACACACGTGCACACACACACACACACACACACACAAGCACAAAACAATTAAGCCTCTTTCATCCTGGCTAATGGCTTCAGTGACTCAGAGCCTTTCTCATTAAGACTATCAATAATATGCTGATTACATGCATCCACCGCTCTCTTTTATCGAGGCACAAAGGGACGAGAGTGCGTCTCAGAGGTGCCAGGGGTGGGGCGGACAGTCGGCGCGACCTTATCTGCTCAAGTCCAATTGTTTGGCTGAAGAAGGTAAAAGAGGCCTCTTTATTTTCCGCAGTTTTATCTCATCAAAGAGGCCTCCTCGTGTGACTTTCATGGCGAGGAAATGCCGATGAACTTGTCCTGCTGAGGGCTTTATTGTGGCCAGACAATAGACGGAGGAGTCATGAGGACAGTAGATCTGTCCGCTTGTCCGACCGGGTGACACCGACCCCCCGGCTGGCTCTCACTCAAATAAGTTCCTGAATGCCTCCGGAGCAAGTCTGAGTGTTTAAAGAATTGGACTCGCTCGTTCTATTGTTACAGTTTGCCATCTTGTTTTTTTTTTTTTTCTGGATCCAGCGGTGGAAGGTAGTTCTGATTGTGTTAGCATGCTAATGTCAGCCACGATCCCCTGAAATCACATTAACAAAAAAGTTCAGACAACAGCGTTCTGATTCCAAACTCTGTGCATGTGGATCTGAAAAAAATGACTTCTACATGCCAGGCCAGACGTTGGCAGTCTTTAGCAACTTTGCAATGGAAATAACCTGCACACATACTCTTCCTTCCACAGAGCGATGAAGTGCAAACATACATAAAATTAATGCACAGATGTTTGTGTGGTAAGGAAGATGAGGTGGGGTTGCTACTCCAATTGACCTTAAACTACAAAGAGAGTAAATCTCAAGAAACAGAACCTCTGGAGTCCGCCATTCTTGTTGTAGACCACATACTTGCTCATGGCTATTGTTTTGGAACAGTAATGCGCATCAGCAAAAACGTCTCTCTTTTTACAGAGGATCGCCATTTTACACGACTATGGAGGCGATGCCGTTTCAAAACTTTTCAATTTCAGGCACCCAAAGCGCTGTTGTAGTGTAAAGGAGCTGCCAGAACACAACAAAAGGTGACCATCTTCTGCTGAAATTGTTGTTGTGAAAACAGCGCTTTAGGCCCCTTGGTTTTTCCAGGCAGAAAAGCGCTGTCTGTGCGCTCCTGAGCTTTTGCATGAGTGTGTGTGTGTGTGTGTGTGTGGATGACAGATAGTAAAGTCAGATAGACAGGCGTCTATCACACAGGCAGGAAGACAGTAGGTCTGTGCTTTGACCTTCACTCTCTTCCTGTTGTAACAGACACGGCGGGCCCCTTCCAGAGGAGACCAGAGGAAAGCGGAGGTTTGACCCGCACAGACACACCTTCACCCCCCCTCCCTCCTCCCTCCTCCCTCCCATCCCTAAACATCCCTAATGGGGGGGGGGCGCTCACTGCCTCTGATCTCACTGTTTTCCACTCGGTGCTATTGTGAGATTTGTTTTTCATTCAAGTTCTGAGGGTCCCGTGTGACCACCTGAGGAGTTGACGGACAGACAGAAACCTTTGTGTGGTTCCCAGACGCCTCAGTATAGACTGTGATACATAAACGTAGAGGAAACTCAATAAACAAAGCATGCTGGGAAATCATTGTGTGTGCTATATTTGGCAAAAGTCACTTAAACGTTGTCCTTTTCCCTTTATTTAGTGCATGATTTAAAGCAGCAATATGTGACTTTTCCACTTTGAAATAGTCAATCTAACAGAACAGAAACTTTAAAAAAGGAAGAATGGCTAAAGTAAAAACTGAACTAGCATAAGCATACTACAACAAAACATGGTGCCAAATTGAGGACGGTGATGGATGAAGATAAGGAGCGAAAGAGAGATAGTGGGAGCGAGCAAGACGATGGACTAGTGAGAGCTTTGCAATACAGTGAGTCGGGCCCTAAGTTTCTACATAGACTCCTCTATCGCCCCCCAGTGGTGGATTGAGCTGCCAAACCCTTTAAGAAAAAGCTAAAGACCCAGCTCTGAAGATTTTGACGATATTTGGGACGGCAAAAAAAACAAAAAAATAAAAAATGATTTGACTTTGTAATGTAATGTCTGGGTTTTTAATAATTGGAAGGATTGATTATTTGAAGTCATGATAAAGATCTGCAGAATACAGAAACTTTCTCTTTTGAATTAAGGTGAGTGTCTGTTCACACATCCAGGCACACGTCTGAAAATAAACCGCTGTTTTTCTTCTATGGGGGAAGAATCCACGTGTTGTGGTTTCTTGTCAAAAGCATCACAGACACGTCGGGTGTTAACGTTCACTCCTGTCATCACTGCCGCTGTGCGGTACGAGCGGACGTCTGCAGAATACCAACGGTGTGGAACAATATTCCCCAGCACGCTCCATCTACAGCAATAATATCGTTATGGCTGCCAGACATGAGAAGACTCTCGCTGTCTGCCACTGGACACACACCATTACTTCTGATGGCCCGTGTGTGTCTGTGTGTGTGTGTGTGTGTGTGTGTGTGCCCTGAGGTCACACATCCTGTCGGGGGGGGAAATGGCTGATTCAGGACTCTGCCATTTTGCTCGTCAAACTCCGGTCCATGCCGCCATAACCGTTAGACATCTGTGGGTGGGCAACTATCACCACTATGATGATGATGATGATGATGATTCTCTGCAGCCATGGCAACACATTAACACCTTGAACACTCTGTCGACTCCTCTAAAAGCTGCAGGCCAGTTTTTCATGTGCAAAAAACAAAAAGAAAGTGTCTCGGCAGCTTGGCTGTAATGGAGCGTCTAAACTTCTACAAACGACTTCGACTAAAATGAGCCAAATCTAATTCTTCTGGAGCCGTTTTTTTTTTTTTAGGTACACACAAAAGTAGGAGCCTTGTGACATCATGAAAACCAAAATGGCGACTGAAAAACAAATCCGAGAAGGGAAAGAAACAGATGGCAACACATCCATTGCTAAATCCAAAACTTTGGTGTCACTTAGTACTGAAGAAAATCTGTGTGGTTAAATATCATTCAAGTTTGATGCTTTTTGGGGGGAACATTTGCATCACATGTGTAATCTATTTTTTTTTAGCCCTAAAAGCTGCACTAATCTATTGTAAATCTGGGTCATATGATGTCGTATTAGGTTGAAAAAAACTTCCTAGGTGGGACGAAAAATCAGCTCTGAAGTCTGTTTTCGCAGGCGAGGCTTGTAGGTGTGTGTCCGTCACTGTGCCTGTGTTTGTGCATTTCTTGTCGCTGTCACACTCCCTGCTATTGCGTCGTTAGCTGTGGCTTTCTTTATTAGCCTCTGGTGAGTTGCAGATGGGAGTGGGGTCAGCATCGCTCCAGCAGTAAAGCAGCGTAGCCGTCAGCCCTGCACACAGGAACAAACACCCCATTAAACTGAGGCCTTCCACATATTACTGGAGTAAAAGCCGCTGCTCTCGCCTTTATGGGCTTTTTAATTATGTCTATTCGTCTTCCCGGGCTTGTGAGCAACAGTTCATGATGAGCCCCATTTCACAAATACTCCCGCCACTGGCACAAAGCTAGAGGGAGGGAAAGGGGGGGGGGGATTAAAAGGGGGAGAAAAAGGCGAACATGGCCTGGAGCTAAAATATGAGCATTGTTACTGCAGTGCTATTTTATGTTTCAGCTCGCAGCACGGAGCCAATGATGCAGCTTTTTCATCCTTTCCTTTTTTTTTTCCAGTGTGGATGGGAATAAAGATGGAGAAACCTCATGCAGCTTTAGTGAACAGCGGTGCAGTCGAGTAGTAATGTCGAGTACTAAATTGGGTTTCGGGTGATGTCTGGGGCAGTTGCAGGCACCGGGAAAAAATTAACCAAACAAATCATCAATGCATGATTTTAGTGTAACAAACAGCACTTTTTTCTATTGAATTTTTAGATATTTCCAGAACAATATTTGAGACACACCCCTGTGTCTTATACACACACAGTAAGGCGTTTCCTTGTTGCGTCATGGCTGGAAAAGCCGAGGTTTACACTGCCTGCATCCTGATTTATGGAGCAATATACAGCTCCTCGTTGTGAACGCAGCATTCATTTTATAGCCAGGTCATTTTCTGCAAGGCTGGACATTACTGCTTAACCCCTTTTAACCCTGCAGGCTTTAAAAGAAGTTGACCCCGGACTACAGAGCAGAGCAGAGAGACTGTAACGATGCTAACACAAGTCGAGGCTTCTTCTAAAGCTGAAAAACAATAATTAAAAAAAAAAAAAAAGGGAGATTCTGGAATAACTGCATTTCTTCATTAAAAAGAACTGAGCAAAGTCTTGAGGGGAAAGGCCAGAGTTTTTATGTTAGAAAAACACACCTGAGAACTTTATTTTGTTGTGGTCATTAGTCTCTGCTCAAAAAAAAGAATATAAGAAATGATTGTTAGAAGTCTCTTATTGTCGTCGATCAGGTGCAAACGGCGTGCTCGGTGGGTTGGTGGAGCCTGCTGCAAATGACAGCACCCATGAACACCAGCAGCACCACAGCCAGCGCCGCACCCACTCCACACAGCAGCACCAGAGAGGAGGAGGAGGAGGAGGAGGAGGGGCTGAGGGGAAAGGATAAACATGCATGATTAATAATTAGGACCACAAAAAGGTTAAAGGTGAAAAGGTGGACTTTTTTCCAGGTTGTGTAACCTTCAAGAGTTCTTGCAGAGGAGCCTTTTCTTGATGCATCTCAGTCAGCTCCACCTGCAGGGTGTTCTCCTGCAGGAAGACGGGGCCCGGAGCAGCCATCCCCTCCCACTCCCACTCCAGCTCTGCATGCAAAATAAAAACTCTACTGAGTGCATTCAGCCAGCTGATCCAAGCGCTCATGATGCGGCTGCTTGGTTGGTTGGAAAATGAAATCCTCCAAATATGCATATGTGCCAAAGGAAAGCAAGTCAGCTTGTCTAAATACAGGTAGCCCGCTGTGCTCTCTATTAGTCTGCAGCTGAATATTTTGAATGCTTAAAAACATTTAAATGCCAAAATGCCTTACAAATGACTGATTTGTGTTATATTTTTGCAGATTTGACAATAAGGTGGTGGTGAAATGTTTCCCCTGGGTTACCATCAAACGTTTGGGATGCCCCCCTCTGTGTGTACTGTACTGTTGACTCTGTATACTGTACCAGCAGCTGCTACAGGACTCCTCCTCCGTCTCTGCTGGCTGCAGCTGCTCTCACAGCAGTCACACACCTTATTGTCTCCACTTGATGCCACCCATCTGTCCGGAGGTAAAAAAAAAAAACGTATCAGACTCTGAGATATTGCAGAAAAGGTATCACAGTTTTCTTAACCGTCTCTGATGTCTCTCTGCATGAGCTGACCGTTGAGCTTCGGTGAGGAAGGAACAGGCTTTGTGCTGCAAGTTTACAGGAACAGAGATGGTCGTTGCTTTCAGGTGACAGGTGATGTAGAGCTGTGAGGAAGTAAAAAGGAGACTCAAATCAACAATACTCAGTATGTACTGAACAAAATGTGAATTTCTGCTACTCTGCAGGAGTGTCTATTTCTGCACTTTTTACAGGACATTCAAACAAACATTTATTACTTGTGCAATGCCTCATTGACAGCGGGAAAAAAATCTAGTAATTTAGTTTGTGTATAATTTTTCTATTTATTCTCCTTATACTTAGAGACAGGATAGAGTTTGAAATCAGTAAGAGAGATAATTAGGAATGGCATGCAGGAAAGGAGCAACAGGTCGCTTTTATCCAAAGCGACGTACATCAGAGAGTAAGTACAACACTAATCCATTCACACACCGCCATGTGCTGGGGATCGAACCCTTGACCTTCCGGTTGAGAGGCGACGACTCTATCAACTGAGCCACAGCCGCCTGCCTGGCCTGTAGCCTCTGTACATGGGATAAGTGCCCTAACCACTAGACCACCAGCACCCTGACCTTGCATTTAGAAAGGGTCGGTCTAAGCTACCAGAGCCCCAGATTGTGCATTATATTTATCCTTTCTTGTTCAATTGTCTTTGGTCATAATATTCTTCCATAGTCTTTTTCCAAAACCACAATAAGGAGGATAATATATCCTTGAGCAGTTTGTCGTATGTGGAAGTTGGCTTTCCTTTTTTGGCATCATTCAAAAAGTAAATGCATGCTAAGATTCATCCAGAGCTGTGATTGCAGGAGCAATTTTTTAAGCCGATACTGGCTCATATTTATGGCACAGCTCTCGTCCAGCTCCACAAACACAGGATATTAAAGGAGCTCTGTTGAACGTCACCTGAGAGGACGTTCATTCCCCTTAGTTGGAAACTTTTTTTGTTCCAAATAGAGCGAGACAGCAGCTGAAGGGATTATGGCCTTTGAACAACACTTACTAAAAGTTTACATTATGTGCCAACTCTAGAAAAAAAAAAAAAAAAAAGGTCACATAACAATTTAGGAGGTGAGAACATCGTCCCTGCAGCTTGATCAGAAAACTAGGGGAGAGAAAAAGCAGCCTGTGAAGTCAAACGTCTGCCTCAATGATACATGATCGCTGGTTTTAAAGAGTACAAACACTTCTCCAGTACTTTCTGTACTCACTGAATTCCTCTGATCTCGGTGGAACCTGAAGGCTTTCAGCTGGAAGTGAAGTTTATCCTCCTGGCTCTGCTGCATGAAGTAAGACTTGGCTTCTGCCAGCTTAGCATCACCGAAACACCTTAAAAAAAAAGGTAAAAAAAAAAAAAAACAGGCACAGGAATCAGACTTAGAAACACAATTCAGCTCTGCATGGGACAATAACTGCTCTCTATAAAAGGTGCTGCATATTTCAAACCTTCATCTGGAGTGTTAGGACTAGCTGACTCTTGAACCCTTTAGATTCTGCTACTTTCTCACCCGTGGTTGCTGATGAACGGGTATCTGGGCTGAGAGTCGGGGTCGGGCGTCACGGTGGCGACGCAGCTGTCCGCGTAGACCCTCAGCGGCACGTGGTGACCCCGCAGGACGGCCGCCTGGATGTGCATTACGTCAAGGAAGTGAACACTGGAGGACCTCTGCGCCTGCCAGTCCTCTAATCGAATACAGAAGAAGTGGAAAAATAACGCTGGGGCCATCGATCTGATTATGGGAGCTTAAATGGTGCCTGTGGGGGAGAGTGGGGCGGTGAATAGGAAATAGGTACAGCAACAATAAGAGAAAAGTGCTTTAAAAGAAACAATAAATGAATTACAGATGTAGCATCATCATTGACCTGGACGAGAAACAGAGGCCTGCAAAAAAAGGGAGCTTTAAACTTGTATCATGTCCGTCCTGCGATGATGCTTTAAGCTGTTTTGTGTGAGTGCTCTCTGCAGCATGTCGCTCTGGATTAATTAGAAAACATGATCAGCTTTTTATTGATCACTTGATTTAGTCAGCTGCAGCCTGTGATTTCAGCTCATCCTCGTGCATCAAAAAACTTTCCCCTACTTCTTTATCGAGTCTCTGCTTAGCATCTTAAGCAGTCGCAGGCAAGGCCTCCGAGTGATTGCAATTAGCCGCCGCCGCCGCTCGGGAAATTAGCTGAAACCTTCTGCTGCAAATCAAAAGTTGTTGTTTTTTTCTTTTCTTAACAGCACATCAGTCGAAGTTTTTTTGTTTGTCGTTTGGCGTGTTTGTCTCCCACCTGTCATGAGGCGCAGGGAGAAGTGCAGCTGCTGCTCGGCCATCACTTCGGAGGCGAACGTCGTCCACGTAGGCCTCAGGGCGGCGCTGCTCACGTAATGCCTCCTGTGAGGACAATTACAGGAAGGACGGGGGGGATTGAACTCGAGAGACAGACGTGGAGGAGGAAGAGGAGTGTTTTCCTCAATCACAGTGACAGAGAGGAGAGCAGAGGGATGAATATAAAACAAGCCTAACCCAGAATTATCCTTGAAAGTATGGAGGAAATCTGATGAACCGTTATATCACGGCTTTGCTAAAACAGGAAGTACTTCAATCTTGACTCTGACAGGTAGGAAAAGTCTATTTGGGGGTATTAATCTTGACTCCAAGACAGTTTGGCATCCCCCATACAAAAACATTTTCTTTGTAATGTTGCTCATGTCTGTGCGTTTAAATCTTCAGATTCCCTCTGGAATTAAGGGTTTACCTTTTATAGTGACATTGAATCACCACCTCCGCATGATTCGTCTTTAAAATGAAGGTGTTGCCGATTGGTTTGGGGGCGTACAGCAGAGAAAAGGAGTAGATGAGGGCGTCGTCAGTCATCTGAAATACAAAAAAAAACAAAACAAAAAAAAAAACGGTTTCTTTAAACCACATAAGAGCAGGTGGACACTTTAAAAGTCAGAAAACACACCATCAGCTTGCTCCCACAGCTGTGCAACTCCGCCTGAAACTGCAGGATGTGGCCAGCGGTGTTCACTGCAGCACAGCCTCCTAGAGTCAGATCACTCGGACGGATCAGCTGACCATTACCTGGAAAAAAAACAACAAAAAAAAAAAAACAACAGACTAAAAGACTTAAATTAGGACCTTTACAGAGAGGCCATTTCTTTTTCTGGACCAGTCGATAACACTCGAGCACAGGACAAAAAGGTTTCCTGCTGTAAAGTCAGCGTTTGAACTTTAAATGGGCCCTGCAGAAAGCTTCTTGTCAGGGCGGAGAAATAAAAGGAAACATAATATTGATCACTGCGCTGTTTGCTGTAATCACCAGCGAGTGTCTCATCCTCACTGCTCCAGCCGATTGTCCAATTCAGGCCTCTAAAGCTGACCCCAACCCGACTAATCCGATTGGACGAGGGGCATTTCATGAGCGCTGATATACTGATGATCTGTAATCATGATTTTGTATCATCACATATCTGAGTTTTTAATTCCCAGTTTGAATTTGAAGATAAACACAAACAAGCAGCCATTACCTAGGAAGTTCTGTTTGACCTCTAAGGTGACCTTTCCTTCACCACACCGCGCTGCCACACTGCCCGCAGGCACAGGAACCCGCTTTTCAAACTTCACCTGCAACTAGAAGATTCAACTTTATTCGATTAAACTGGACATATTCAGTGCAAGAAGTGAATAAAAAAAATTTAAATAAAAGATTTTGAGGGCACCTGTGTATCCTGCTTGATGGGCGGGTTCAGATCGGGGCCTTGAATCAGCGTCAACAACTCCTGAACTTGGACGTTCTCCAGCTGCTCCGAGGTCAGCCCTCTGGCCTCCGATATCAGCGGGTCTTGAAATATTTGCCCCACGGAATCCTGCACCGGTTTTAGTTTTCTCACAGCCGGGTTCCAGATCTGGTAGACCTTGAGCCGGTAGTTGACGGGAGAACGACCCGAGCCGCTGTGCTCTGTCCGGTTTGACTGATGACCTGTCTTCTGCAGAGATCTGGGCAGCTGTGAGCTTGTTGTCTCTTGTGCTTGTGGGTTCAGGGTCTCCTTTGTGCTTGAGATAAAGGAGTTCTGAGAAGTGGCGCCAGACAGGAGAAGCACAAACACCACCCCTCTGAACCCCATTGCAACTTTTCAAACAAAAACCAGAGTTCTGCGGGGTTTGCAGAGAGCTGCTGCTGTTTGCCTTCTCATCAAAACCAAGTTAGGAGAACCTGCTTTAGGCCACACCCACTCCTAATGACTTGATTGAGCTCCAGCCTGGAGGGATCAAGCACTGAAACGTCTTCTTCTGCTCTTCTCTGTTGATTCCAGAAATGTTGCACTAGTGCCTACTACTGGTCGAGTAAAATCTCCTTACGACATCTTTTAAATTACACTTTAAAAAAAGGACAAAGACACAACTTTTCCCCCTTTTTCTCATCCTCTATGAAACCTGAGCTCCTCCGTCTGAGCTCTGAGAGAACCAGACATCCTCTCTGCACATTTTCTTCTCTCTCTTCAATAAAAATCCTCAGAAGAATGCAAACTTTTCCTAAATTTAAAACATTCCTCTTGCTTCTTGGGTGACTTGTTCTTCCCAATCTCCCTGTGTGCATTTCTGATACTCACACAGGAAGAATAATCTTTAATTTTAGGAATGATTTTGCATATTTCTGAGATGGGAATGATATGAAAAATAGCTTTTTTTCTTTACATGATCAAAGGTAAAACATGCTGTCTGGTTAGTCCCCACCTTTCCTGAAGCTAATGAACAAAGACTTTAATAAACACAAACATGTCTGACCCTAACAGCGTGTGGCGTTCACTGCCCCCTTGGGACTCATCACTCATTGCTCTCAGGGAGCTGGAACCTGCAGGATTTATTTTTGATTTTTTTTCTGCTCGCTCTTGAATGTCGAGGTCAGCAGTCTGCAGATCTCAGCTCATAAAACTCAGATTTATGATCCACCTTGGAGAGACTTCACAAATGTCACCGCCGACAAATGTTTGTGTGTGCGGCACATGTGGCAGGGAGCAGAAGCCGGGGGGGGGGGGGCGGGGCTTATGCCTGTGACAGCAGACATGTCAATCACACGTTGACGTACCTGGTTTTAATGTGGCTTTAGTGACTGTGAAGCGAAGCTCAAAGGTCGGTTGATCCTTCAATATTTATACATGAAAGAAATTCAATGAAAGTGAGGTAAACTTTTCAAGATGTAAAACACCAGCGTCATAAATGAGGAAAACCACGGTCTTGCCTTGGTCTGGCCCTGCCTTGGTCTTGGTCTTGTCTCGGCCTCAGAGCTCTCTGGTCTCAGGTATGCCTTGGTCTTAGTGTGGTCTTGACTACAACACTCTGACAGTGTGTCGATGAACATCTCAGCTCGGAGCTGGAGTCCCATAGATTTAAAAATATTAAAGTTCCCATTAAAGCAAGCCTTCATGAAACTATCGACAACTCAGATTGATGATAATAGTTCATTATTTTCACTTTCAAAGCTGCGGCCTTTAGTCGACGTATACCTCCAATAGAAAAAGTGCATTATAGTTTGGCACTACTTTCAGGGGCGGATTAATGCACATTTGATGGCAGTGAGTCAACGGCGACATGAGAGTGCTCGTACTGTACGGGATTGATTCTATAGTGCCCATTTTCTCTGCGAAACAGAACACATCAGTCAATGCAAAGTGAGACACATTGACGTTTTTTAAAAAGCATTGAGAGCTCTAATCTGGGGCACAGAGTCACTCTTTAGTAAGACATCAGACAAGAGGTTTTACCGGATGTGTGGATCTTTTGCACCTTAAATACGGTATGACGATAAAATAAAGAGGAATCGAGCAGTTTGGAAGTAGTGTGGTGTCATTTTGTAACTCTTGAACTCTTGAAAATGATGGCGCCATTTTTAAAGTCTGTTTTTGGTTTTAATCCGTTGTAATGACATTTTCAGTCAAAAAAAAGACTTTATCATCATCCACAGACATACCTTTGCCGGGACAAATGTATGAATGAACCCATAATTAGATTAGCTACATAAGAAACTTCGGGTTTAAAAGCTCTATTTGTTAAAATCTCCTGATAGAGACAGAGTCATCTGGTCTGATCTGCAGGAATACATTACAGCTCTTCTTTCTGTCAGGATCTCCCTGCAGAGGGGCTGCTATTGTCTGGAAGCGGCTTTTATCTTCTGCTGATCAGCCGCAAAACAAAGAGACGAGGTGCGTGTGTGTGTGTGTGTGTGTGTATATGTGTGTGTGTGTGTGTTTTAGATCAAGGGAGGCTGGAGTGAAATCCGTCCATCCCTGCCAGTCAGGCCCCCTCTGCTGCTGATCTCTAACTTGGTTAGCTGCCTCTAATTTGGCCCCCGGAGGGTCCTAATGTGGCCCCCTCGAGGACTTCTGAAAGGGGCCTGGCAGCTCCTAAATCCACACACACACACACACACACACACACACACACACACATTCACACACGCTGCTGCCACTCCCATCAGCTTCTGTTTCCAATAATCCTGCTGCATTTGGAGACAGGGACAGGATGATGCAGGTAAACAGGCCTTTTTTCTGTTTCGACGATAAACACACACACACACACACACACACACACACTCGAGCACACAAACATCCACCAGATGGAAACTCTACGACGCAGATGCTCAATGACAGTAACACACACACACACACACACACTTCCTGTCCCTCGTCTCGTTTTGCTGACAGCACAAAGTCATGCAAACGGCTCGATTTGGCCCTCGCCGCTCTGCGCCATACGGATAACGGTGATGGAGGCTCATTAAAAACATGTAGTGGGAGATGGATTAGTAAGAGCCTGCTGCTGTAGTGGGTGAGCGGCGTTCAAGATCAGCGGATTTCTATGCGTTTTGTCAGCGGGTAGATTTGCGTGGGACATGGAGATATATTTCTGAGGGATATTTTGCCTTCCAACACGCTCTGGTGTGTGTTTTTTAGACGCTGGCATAAGCGCTGCTGCTCGTAAACCGTCTCTGCGTGTGTGTTAGCTGTTTTTTTAAAGGGGAGGAACTACGGGGATGTAAGAACAGGGCGGGAACATCAGGGGGACTAAGGCCCAAAAAGATAAGACAACCATATTTCTAAAAAAAAAGGAAACAGAAATCACAGGCTGTATGTAACATGGACGTACTCTCAGTGACATCATCCATCCGTAAGAAGCCCAACGATGGCGGTTGCCATATTCATTTCGCCAAGAGTGGTAGTTATTTGACTCGTGAGGTAAAGAAAGTGTGAAGCAGGAGAAGAAGTGTGTGAGAGGGTGAGATGAGAAAGCGTGGTGACCTGACAGAGAGAAGAAATCACACTCTGAGGGGGGGGGGGGTGTGTGTGTGAAAACAAAGGAGGAGCAGAAGAAAAAGTAAGGTTGGGGGTTGGTGGATCTGGAGGTGAGGCAGGCTGGTGCTCCTGTGGGAGCCACATGAAATGACTCAAGCCAGCAGCGGCTATTTCCAACACATCTCCACACATGGGAACACGCACAAACACACACACACACACATGCAGGGGAGCTAATGGACTGATATTAAAAACATGCATCACACCACGTCACCTAGCGACCACACACACACACACACACACACACACACGCATCTGCACAGTGCTTCCACACACTCGGCGAGGATAATGATCTCCCCACGCTGCAGTATCATCTGATGTATCACTTAGCTGAAAGCAGTGACACGGAAAGTCCACCACGCTGACACAAACACTCTCCGACGACGCTGGCGGCTGATTCTGACACGAGCTTGAAAAACAAAACAAAACAAAACAAAAAAAAAAACACAACACACTCTTTTCTTCCCGTGGTCGACCTCGTTTTTTTTTTTTTTTTTTTATCACAACACCCGTGACATTTCTGGTGGAGGGATCCTCGTCTCGTTCAATAGCCTGAAGTCGGCCTTTGTCGCAAGAAGAAAGGTCGTCACTCGGTTTGATTGACAGGTGTCATCACCCTGTGGAGAATCAGGATCGGGCCTTTGACCTGCAGCGCCGCCTAACTTCAGGAGCGCCAAAGTTTCTCTCGAGGGAGGAACTTTTTTTTTTTTTGTTCATGCCACCTAGAGTCTGATGATATTTAGCCGCTCGCTTCACTGTTGGCCTCTTTGTCTCATGTCCCCCAGGTATCCACAAGGACTGTTTCACCTGCTTCTAGACTTCATACGTGCCTCCTAATTTTGAAGAAGTTACGATGAATTCTAAGGGACTAAAAAGTGAATTATAAGACATCTGAATGTCTCAGGAAACCGCTCCTACCTCCAAACTCTCACTGCTTCTCTTATCAAATCACTAAACATGCTACTTCGTTATCCCAGACAAACTTGTGACTCTGCCTCCTCACAGCTTCACATCTGTTAAAAGTAGCAGTTTGTTTTTTTTATTTTCCCATGAATGTTTCAAATTGTTCTGACACTTTTTTTTTTCGCTCTTGGAAGTTATCGCTTCTTCTTGTGAGGATGACTTCACTTCACGCAGGGAACGAGCCGCTCCTTCCTCTTCTTCTTTTTTTTTTTCAGATTGCCTGACATCTTCTTCTCTGCAAAGCCTTTTCCTCGGCGGCGGGAAATCTATGAAACGCTTCATGTTTGCATAATGTAGCGTTTAAGCACCTGTCAACCTGGAGTTTCCCACTTTAAGCAGCCCTGTCACTTCAAAAAATAAATAAATAAATGCACGCCATAGCTGCGGATATATACGGCTGTGACAATACTTCAGACGCTGGGTGCATTTCAAAAACGTTTGCATGCTTTTGAGGACGTAAATAGCGTCTAAATGTGTGCAAACCTGTCTTCCTTATATGGGCGTGTAATCTCTCTAACTGCTTGGATCCTTCTCAGTGATGCTGCAACTCAAGCCTTTTGTTTAATAAACAATTTGTCAGTGATGTATCGAACGCTCGCTCTAATTTGATTGTGTGTGAAATGTGTATAAAGATGGCCGCCTCCTCCGCCTTCTCCTCTCTCTCCCTTTGATATCTTCCACTTTCTCCCCCCCCCTCCCCGCCCATGCAGGTGTGTGTTTTCGTCCTATGTGCATGTGTGTGTCTATGCGTGCAGGAATAAAGACGGAGGAGCGATCCTTAAGGGTTTGCAATTACATCTAAACGGCATAATCGGACATGATGGATGGCGATTGCCTCTGCACGATGTCTAGACCTCAGCTCCAGCGGTGCAACAAGGTTACAGGAGAGTCGGAAATGATGGAAGATTTAATAGTTCTGTTCTGCTTTTCTC